AGAGAAAAAAAAAACAAACGAATTCGTTCGTATTAATTTTTATATATATATTATATATATATTTTGCACAACATCTGATTAGGTGGCAGAAACGGTACTTCAACGTGTCTTGGGACCGAATGAAGTTCCAAAGGTTTGGACCACTTTATTCTCAAGTTGCTTTCGCTTTCCATCAACGAAACGTGCTTTTGCTTTTTTTCAATTCAACGTGCAATTTCGATTTTCTTACGAATATCAACCTTAACGTCGACCATTCAACTGTTTTCAAAATTGCAGTTTACACGTACTGACTCTTCTAACAATATTCATCTCCTCAGTTTACATTTTGTAATCCTCGAATCCGAGGATCTCTGCAATATTTACAATGAAACTAATAAACATTATTAACAATAACTATTATTATCAAGGAGTTGTTAAATTATTACGGCAAATTGCAACGTTTCAGTTAATACGTATTCTCAATGTGTTTAACAGCAAATTTGTGATTCACATTGGAAAGTCAAAAAAAAAAGAAAGAAAACGTTTGAAACTCAATGTGAGAAAAGCTCAAAGGAAAAAGTTAAACCGAGCAACATCTAATTCTAATTATAGCAATATATATCATTTTCTACCCTGGTCAATTTTATTCTTAGGTTGTCCACAAGCAGTTTAACTCACCGATTGGACTCTACTCCGAGCAAAATATTGCCGACACTATAAAGTGCCAAGCATCCGCTATACCGTAAGTAAAAAATAAATATACCTACGTATACATGAAACAAAGGTTAATAAAGCCGCTGCAGCTCGCAGTAGCGTCATAAAAAGTTACTAGCATTAATACCATTGGATTTTTGCTGAATGCTGCTACTACTTATCAAATTATTAACTCTAAGAGGTTATAATAATCTTGACGCCATTGACTAACGGACATAATTAAAATCATTGCCCGAATAATACAACGCATCGAAAGAATGATCTAGTATAGTTTACATGCAAGGGACATTAATTGGATTAGTTCTAAATCCTAAAGGGAATTTATCAATCTGTTGGCAATAGACCGTGAAGGACGCGACACAACCGGGAGTATGGATCTAGAACAGAAAAACATAGAAATCAGCTCTCTTACATCGTTATATATTTGCCTTCTCGAATGGATGACACTCACGTGCAGTTTGTTTGTTTTTCCAGCATTTTCATAGACTTTTCCTTCGTGAAACAGAAACAAGAAATACAGGAGCAGGCGAGAATCTTGAAAGAGCAGGCCAAGACCGCCTCCTCGAAGAATGTGTGGCCGCAATTCAATAAACCAAATTAATATCTTAGTTCGAGACGTTTTTCGTTGCTTCTCGCACGTCGCAGTATATTCGTAGTTTTCAGTTCTTTGAAGATTTTCATTGGCTGGATCATTGGTCACGTTATTTATTTCAGAACTGTTCTCTCCCCTATTTGAAATCGTTAGTCATCACATTTAGTCAGACAATTGCAGAAAATAGTTTTCTCTTTTAAACAAATGAACGTGACCATTGGCCCATAATTAAATCTCTTGATAGTCGTTCGATAAAGCGTTTACTGATTCAAACTCTTTTGCTTTACAGTTTATTACCTCTATCGTAATTAGGATCGTAAGATCGCTACGTATACATATATATACATACTGCAATTTGTGTAGTGATTTTTTAGAGAAACTAGAAAAAAAGAAAGCAAACGGCAAAGAAAGTTTTTTCGAATAACCCCATACTAAGCAATTTGCATGCTGTACCGTTGGAAGTAAAGTCAACAATTAACCAAAGTAAATGTTCATGAAAATTAGCAGCCTCACTAATTTTTGATACTCATACACAATCAACAAGCAATTCTCGAGAATTACACGTTTATTGTCTTGTGAAAGCAATTCTGTAGGTTGGTATCCTACCAATAGTGTGTGGTATCCTATACTATAGTGTTCTAAACAGTAAAACGTCATGTAATTCTCGAGAAAAGGCATCAAAGATCTAGTTGAGACATATTTGTGACTCGATTAATGAAAAGGGCATGGAAGCGGTCCGAAAGTCGCTCTCGAACAAACAATTGGCGATATAACCCTGGCTGCTGCTAACCGATCTGACAAAATCGAGGCAAATGAATTAAAAATAGTCCGTGTGTACACATGCGATGCAATGGTACAGCCCGAAGAAACCGGTGAAGTACGACCCAAGTAAGAGCGAGGCTTACAAGGCTCTGCAGGAGGAAGCTCTCGGCGACACAGTGCAGGAAGTGAGACCGGTTCGTACCGGTGTTTTCTCTCCGCAGAGGGCTAATCAAAATAGGGTACGTGTATCGAGTAATTGAATTCGCATTTACCATCGAAATGTCTGGTCATTACCATCTTGTCTGATCTGAATAAATATTTGCAGGTATATCGGCCAAAGAGTCCAGTTGGACCATACGTAAGTAAGGCTTCAAATACTACTTCCAATATACTGTACATATGTGTATGATATGTATGTATGTATGTATATGATACATGTATATATGCTATGCACGCACGTATGCATGACAGCCTTTGTGATTACATGAATTATTCAATTTAGCATAATAAATTCTACACGTTCCTTTTACAAAAGATGTCATTAACGATTGTTGAAATTTACATCAATAATTCGTACGTGTCGTTTGCATATTTGCACATACATATTAATTTCTTACAAACATAATTCTTATTGTTGAAATGTTATTCAAACTTAAAAAGTATAAAGTGACCGTGTAGTTATTATTGTATTACTATGCGTGCCAAATGTTTGTGAAATTCGTTAACGATATTGCTTGGTTTAAATAGAAATTTGCAATTTCTTTCCAGGTAAATACTCATGATGACGATGGCGAAAAGATCCATCAAAGTAACAGCTTCAAGAGGATCATGTATAGTGTTTTGGGACAAACCGATTATTAATTTGCGAACTGACGTTATAAATATATCTAAAATATAAAATATAAATATATATATATATATGTTTAATTTATTATTTATCGCAACAAATATTACTGTAAAAATGATGAAGAATTAAACATGATGAAAGAATTGTTAAAATAACAAGAAACTGTTGTTCAAAGATAGACCAAACATGTAACCTGAGTAGAAATTTCTACATGGTGCTGCAAATTTTATATAATCAACTTCAATGTATATTACATCTTTTCCTGGCTGAAATTCTGATAAAAAATCATGCAATTAAATAAACATTCAGTGTGAGTCACATAATAAAAGGACTATTATTTTATATGACCTTGTTACAGTCTTTAATAAAATTAAATAATAAATATATTACACTGAAAAACAAAATGTTAGACATTATTGAGAAGAGAAAAAATTGTTTAAAAATATCGAATAATAGCTAATATAATTTAATATCATAATAAGATGCTACAATATTTATACATATTGACACATCTGTATTAATACAAGTAAACTTCAATTTATTTTCATTAGCAACTTTGGCTTGTTAAATTTTACAACCAAAGCATATATGTATATATATCGTTGTTATTATGCATGTAATAACAAGAAACGATGAGTGGAATAAGTACCGTAATTTATACAGAATTGCATCTATAATATTCTAGCGGATTACAAAATATCATGTGCTATTGTTTTGTATAACTCAAGTTTGATACAATATTCTCTTCACGGTACGACATATATTCCATTCATAAAACAATATCTTTTAAACAATTCCTACGTAGAATATAAATACTGTGCCTTTGCAGACTATGCAGCAATCAATGCATATCATTGGCCAAGATAAAGTAATAGTAAAATATTTTTCTTTAAATATTCCAACTAGTACTAGCAAATTGTCTTCTACTTATATCTTGTTCTTTCTTTTTTCCTTTTTTTTTTTCCTTTAGAAGGGAGAAATTTTTGAAACTTTCCGAAGAGCAACATTACGATTCGATCTCGTAAACGTGTTTTCCTTTCAACTAAATTCACATAATCTACATCTCCACAATATTTTACGCAAACGAATCTAACGCTGCAACATGTCTCTTCGTATATTCCTACTAACCTACCAATCATTTAATTCTTTATAAAAATAGAGCAAAGATAAAGAATTAAATTAATTGGCTGTTCTTTGCTACGGCTTAAGTAAATGAATAAAAAAATTGCCGTAAATATACATCTTCGAACCTCAAAAAGTTTCATTTAAATCTCCACAGTCGTAGTTATCAGTATATTTACGCTCTGCGTAAAATTGTTGTATAAATTAAAAATAATACTTTCTTTTTAATCTTATTTGTTCCGTAATTTTATATTAATGTACATTAATAAAATAAAATACAAAACGTCAACGCACGAATATTTTCAATTAATGCAACAACTGTTTCTTCACACTTTGAGCAATGAGTAAATCATGTTAGAAAATTCCAGACAGATAATTTTCGTCTTTGTGATATATTTACATAATAAAATATTCTTGCTCTCATTCACTGCATGGGTTCAACATTCATCTCGCACACCAACATAAATATGTCACCTATTTAAAAAAAAATTATATATATATAATTTTCTAATATATATATAATTTTCTAATATATAT